AACCTATCGATGCTACATTTGCATAAGTTCTTGTAATGTCTCTTAAATACATTAGGCTTGAGATTTATAAACATCTGTGCACTCAGTTAAGCTCAAAGCTTTTCCTGACTTACATGATCTGATCTGTCCTATATGCCTTCATTATCGGTTTTAAATATTCCTAACGTCCCCATATATCAGGCATATTCATGTTCAACTGTCAGACACAAAGTGCAGACTAAGCTTGGGTAATACTTTAGAGTTTACTAAGTGCTCATTCGCTCAAAATTGCAAAATAAAGATATATACATTTATGTAAACAAGTTTTACATTTATGAATATTGTAAATCAGTCACTTTGTTGCAGGCATTTCTTAATTTTAGAGGATATGTATTTTATGTTAGAAACATTGTGAGCACCTAACCGTAGGACAGAGGCGTGGCCAAACAAGACACTCTCAAGCTTCCTTGTATGGGATTGTCAAGTTAATGAGAAACCAAGAAAAGTAAATATATAATCAAAAGCTTTCAAGCCCAGAAAGTGCAGTCCAGGGGTGTGGCTTAGTGACAGGTTGCTCCTGTGGCTTTGGTGGGCTGGTGAGGCTGTGTTAATCCTCAGCAATTCACATCCCTGTAATCCCAGCCTTGGGAGTGGAAGCAGAAGGGTAGTGAGTTCAAGTTCAGACTTACATGGCTACATAGTGAGTTCAGACCAGCCTGAGCTACATAGTGAGATTCTGCATCCAAAATAAAAAATTAAAATAAAAGAGATACAGTGCTGTAGTCTGAGTTCTTTGAAAACTCACAGAAGTTCTATTCAAGTGGAAGAATGGCAATTCCTCCAGAAGTTCTTTTATTGTTGAGAATAGTTTTCGCTATCCTGGGTTTTTTGTTATTCCATATGAATTTGAGAATTTCCTTTTCTAACTCTGTGAAGAATTGAGTTGGGATTTTAATGGGGATTGCATTGAATCTGTAGATTGCTTTTGGCAAGATGGCCATTTTTATTATATTAATCCTGCCAATCCATGAGCATGGGAGATCTTTCCATCTTCTGAGATCTTCTTCAATTTCTTTCTTCAGAGACTTGAAGTTCTTGTCATACAGGTCTTTCACTTGCTTGGTTAGATTCACACCAAGGTATTTTATATTATTTGCAACTATTGTGAAGGGTGTCATTTCCCTAATTTCTTTTTCAGTCTGTTTATCTTTCATGTAGAGGAAGGCTACTGAACTTCTGGAGGAATTACCATCCCTGACCTCAAGCTGTACTACAGAGCAATAGTGATAAAAACTACCTGGTATTGGTACAGAGACAGGCAGGAAGATCAATGGAATAGAATTGAAGACCCAGAAATGAACCCACACTCCTATGGTCACTTGATCTTTGACAAAGGAGCTAAAACTGTCCAGTGGAAAAAGGACAGCATTTTCAACAAATGGTGCTGGTTCAACTGGAAGACAACATGTAGAAGAATGAAAATTGATCCATTCTTATCTCCTTGTACAAAGCTCAAGTCTATGTGGATAAAGGACCTCCACATAAAACCAGATACACTGAAACTAATAGAAGAGAAGGTGGGGAAAAGCCTCGAATACTTGGGCACAGGGGAAAAGTTCCTGAACAGAACTCCAATGGCATATGCTCTAAGATCGAGAATTGACAAATGGGACTTCATAAAATTGCAAAGTTTCTGTAAGGCAAAGGACACTGTCAATAGGACAAAACGACAACCAACAAATTGGGAAAAGATCTTTACCAATCCTTCATCTGATAGAGGGCTAATATCCAATATATACAAAGAACTCAAGAAATTAGACTCCAGACAACCAAATTACCCTATTAAAAAATGGGGTATAGAGCTTAACAAAGAATTTTCAACGGAAGAAACTCGAATGGCCGAGAAGCATCTAAAGAAATGTTCAGCATCCTTAGTCGTCAGGGAAATGCAAATCAAAACAACCCTGAGATTCCATCTCACACCAGTCAGAATGGCTAAGATTAAAAACTCAGGTGATAGTAGATGCTGGCGAGGGTGTGGAGAAAGAGGAACACTCCTCCATTGTTGGTGGGACTGCAAGATGGTGCAACCACTTTGGAAATCAGTCTGGCGGTTCCTCAGAAAATTGGACATAGCATTACCCGAGGATCCAGCTATACCACTCCTAGGCATATACCCAGAAGATGCTCGAACATATAACAAGGACATATGCTCAACTATGTTCATAGCAGCCTTATTTATAATAGCCAGGAGCTGGAAAGAACCCAGATGTCCTTCAACTGAGGAATGGATTCAAAAAATGTGGTATATTTACACAATGGAGTATTACTCAGCTATTAAAAAACAATGAATTCGAGAGGTTCCTAGGTAAATGGATGGAACTAGAAATTATCATCCTGAGTGAGGTAAGCCAATCACAAAAGAAGACACATGGTATTCACTCACTGATTATTGGATATTAGCCTAGAACCTTGAAATGCCCAAGATGCAACTCACAGGCCACATGAAGCCCATAAAGAAGGAAGACCAAGTGAGGGTGATTCGGTCCTTCTTAGAAGGAGCAACAAAATACTCAAGGGAGCAAATATGGAGACAAAGTGAGGGACAGAAACTGAAGGAGGGGCCGTCTCAAGACCACCCCACCTGAGTATCTATCCCATGTGCAATCACCAAAGGTAGATGCTGATGTGGAAGACAGGAAGTGCATGCTGATAAGAGCCTGATATGGATATCTCCTCAGAGGCCTTCAAGAGTCAGACATATTCAGAGGCAGATGCTCACAACTAGCCATTGAACTGATCATGGGGTTCTCAATAGAGGAGTTAGAGTGAAGACTGAAGGAGCTGAAAGGGTTTGTGGCACCATGAGGAGAGCAACAATACCAACCAACCACAGCTCCCAGGGTCTAAACCACCAGCCTGGGAGCACTTAGGGGGGGATCCAGGGCTTCAGCTGAATATGTAAAAGTGGAGGGCCCTGCTGGGCATAGGTGGAAGAAGAGAACCTTGACCTCATGAAGGCTGGATGCCCCAGGGGGTGGGAATTTTGAGGGTGGGGAGGTGGGAGTGGGGGGGTGTAGATAGAGGTTACATCCACAGAGAAAGAAGGAGGAGGGACAAGGGGATTGGGGGTTCCGAGGGGGTGGTGGGGGATGGGGTAAGGGGACAACATAGGAAATGTAAATAAATCATCCAATAAAAAAAAAAAAAGAAAAAAAAAAGTGGAAGAATGGCTTTCCACATTCTCTTTCATCTAAATATTTAACAATTCATTGGCTACTGACCTCAAGGGTGATTGATAAACACTTGTCTGGGGTAACCTTGAGATCAGACATGTTATATCTCATAAATGCCAGGTATAAACTATTATTCTCAAAGGGTGGGCAGGGATGTGGGATGGTGTTGTTAAATTCTCAGCATTTATTAAGGGGTTGTTATTTGTTCAACACTGTGTTGATAGTACTCCAAATCCCACAATCCCCTGACACTACTAAATAAGCATTTCTATTGTGTTCACCTTTTACATACCAGTGGGGGGCCCCAGCATTCAAGGAACTAGCCCCAAATCATGGAGCTGATAAGCAAGGTTTAACAATTACAAGAAGATCTCTATGGTGTGAGAACTATGAAACATAATGGGGAAGGGGCTTGGGAGGAGGGGCACAGGACGGTGGCCGGGTACACTGTGGGAGGAGGGGCACAG